CCCCCTACACACACACACACACACACACACACACACACAGTCACAGTGTTTCATTGACCCTCTTCTTCCCTGACCCAGGGACCAGCTAAATAGCCCTGCACTGAGAGCAGCGGCCTGGAGGGGCCCTGTCTGGGCTGGGGAGTCAGAGGACAGGGCCGGCCCCTGAGCACCTCAGCTTCGAAGGTTGTCCCTTCCCCTCTCCCACTTTCCTCCCCAGGTTTCTATCCAGAGAAAGTTCCCAGGTACAACAATGCTAATTAGGTGACTGCAAATTAACCCCCTGGAGGCCTCTCCCTGCAAAACCTCCCTGGGGCTGGGGTGGGCAGTAGACGGGGTGTAGCTGGGAGGAGGGGGCAGAGAGAGGAGACTGAAAGGAGGTCCGGGTGCTGGTGGGGCTGGGAGATTTTCTAAGGCCTCTGGAGTCTTCTGGCCCATCTCTAAAGGGGGGCTGAGCAGAAGGTGGAAATCCCTAATTTTTGAGCCCGACTGGAGGCTGAGAGCAGTGAGGAGTTGGGATTCTGGGAGGCAGGGGCCGCCAAGCTGCAGGGGGAAGGGGAAGACAGATTAACGTAGTGAGTGTAGCAGATAGCTGAGGTTTAACCGGGAGGGATGTCCAGCTTGCTAGAACCACTGGGACCGGGACAGCTCAGGCTCCACCCTGAGCACCCCAGGCTGCATCCCGAATCTATCCTCTTGCCCCTTGGGGCAATTTAACCTTTTTCATGGAAAGTTATTTACAATAAAAAAATTTTGAAAATAAAATTTTTAAAAATCTGAAATGGACCTGCTTGCAGCTTCTTTGGGAAAAGGTGAGGGCAAAGTTTGGAGGGGGCCCTTCTCTTCGATGCTGAGGCGAGTGGCTGGGAGGAAGTTGGGGAGGTCACCGAAGGCATGAAGAGTGCCTCCTGATGAACGCCCCACAACTCTGTGTCCCCAGGGAGAAAAGTGGGGGGGGGAAAGGCAGCCTTCAGGAGGTCCCCTGCAGCCTGAGCCTCAGTGCCTCTGTATGCACAGTGGGGGTCACCGCACCCACAGCCCCCAGGAGTGTGGGAGAAAGGAGGCACAGCCCCTGCCCTGGCCCTGGGCACTCACAAAGGCCGAGCCTGCCCGGGCTCCGCTCAAGCGTCCCCCGCCGAGAGGGCGTGCCTGGGCTCGCCCGCCTGAATCTGCGGTCCCTGGCCTGGGCCAGTCTCCAGCACCTCCCTCCCTCAGTCTTATGGGGGGGACAGGGTTTGAGGTCAGAGGGCCCCAGCCGCAGGTGCCCCACTCCCACCCTAGCGCGTGTTCACCCAGCTCGGTGCCTTTCCTCCCAGGCCCGATGCAGGCTCAACGTGGAGGAAGGCCACCAGGGCAGTCTCTGTGCCCAGCCCCCACTTCCCCACTTACTCACACGGGCAGGTCTGCTCTGAGGAACCCAGCCTACCAGGGTTCTGATAGGGAAACTGAGTCATAGAAAATGTGTGTTTGAGCTCAATCCTCTCACCCCTCCCTGCTTTGTCTAGAACCCACTCTCCACCCAGCCCCACAAGCACACCCTGGGGGTGCACGCTCTTCCCCCACCACACACACACACACCCTGGCACAAATGGGGACTTCGTGCATAGTCCTGCCTGGCCTCCACGGGCCCCTTTCTCACCCAAGCCCTTTTTTTCCCTTCCCTGGAGCCTGGCTCTAGGCCAGCCCGGCCTTCCCCATGCTAACTTGCTGCTTTCACTTGCTAATTATTCCAAATATTTCAGATGGGCTCACTTACTGCAGGACCAGCGGGGTGGGGGCCTTCCTGAGCCCAGAAGCCAGCCCACCCCCTTCCCACAGCAGGCTGGGGAGGCTGCCTCTCTCTGAGACTCCCCTCATCTCCAAGCAAGTCCTCCCTCCCTCCCCCACCATCCACCAGCCTCTCTACTGGCCCCCAACAGTGGGGGAACAAGGGGGGCTTCAGCCTCCACTGGCTCTCAGGATCAGCCTCCGGCCCCTGTCGAAGGGGTTCCACCTTGGATTGACAAGTGGGGCATGCCACTGTCTCCCCCACCTCACCCTCTGCTGGCTAAAGAGGGGTTTGGTCAGGAGCAGGCAGAACTGCCCAGGGAGGTGAGGAAAAGCAGAGGAAGCCCAACAGAGGCTCTGGCTCAGTCCTTGCTGCAGGGGAAAGTCACCAGGGGCTCCTGAAGATCCCTGGGCTGGGCCAGAGTCTCTGGGGCTGGAGCCCAGGCATCAGCATTGTTCAAAAGCCCTGAGATGCTACCAAAGCTGAGAGGGGGCTTGGAATGGGCACAGGCAGGCAGCATTATAATGCAGAAAGTGTGTTTCAGAGCCCATCCCTCCGACTCATCCCTGCCCTGGCGGCTCTTTTAAAAAGATGCTCAGCCCGGCCAGCATGGCTCAGTGGTTGAGCGTCAACCCATGAACCAGGAGGTCAGGGTTTGATTCCCGGTCGGGGCACATGCCCGGGTTGCAGGCTCGATCCCCAGCAGGGGGCCTGCAGGAGGGAGCTGATCCATGACTCTCTCATCATTGATGTTTCTCTCTCTCTCTCCCTCTCCCTGAAATCAATAAAGATATTTTTTAGAAAGGTGTTCATTTGCTTCATATTTATTGATAGATTCAATGTAACCCAGTCTAAATACGCTCTGAGCATTTGACAGTAAGTTGCAGGCATACTGCCCATTAGCAGGAACCACTCAAGTGTATATGTCCCTAGAACAAGGACATTCGTACAGAACCCTCGTGCCCCCATCACAATCGGGAAATTGACATTGACCTGGTAATCCCCGCTAACTGCAGGCCCCGCTCAAAGTTTGCAGTCGCCCCGCTGATGCTCCTCTCGGGCCCAGCACCCCAGTCCAGGACTGCAAGTTGCACTGAGGGGTACTATGTCTTTTAAGCTGTGTGGCGGTGAGCTCTCTGAGCAGGTTCCTCTGAGCAGGTTCCCCATCTTTGAGGTGAGAATCCCTAAACTACTTCATTCTTGGGTGTTGGGGACAGCCCTTCCCAAAGAAGCAGCCACTTTTCTGTCCCCTAACTGGTGGCCTTTGCCCCACCCTCCCTCTGCCAAGTGTCCTTAGCCGGGAGTGTGATGCGGGAGAGGGCAGGAGCTTAGACCTGGGGTCTTCCCCCTCTCTGCCCAGAGCACATCCGGTTCCCCTGGACAGGCCACCACAGGCTGCAGTTACTCAGGATGTCTGGAAGGCACCTGGGATTCCCGAGGTCCGCATTCCTTGCTGTCCTGCAGCGAAAGGCCAGGCACCTGCAGAGCTGAGCTGAGGACAGGATCCCTCTCCACCCCGCACCCCCGCAGCCACACACGCAGGGGCAAGACTCAGAAGGAAGAGGGTGAGCGGGAAGGAAGGGGCGCGAGGGCAGGGGGGGCAGGTGGTTGGGAATCAGGGGCACTTGCATCCTGGGCCGGGGCCCAAAGGTAAACAGGTGTATTTGGACTCCCAGCAGGGGGCAGTGAGGCAGGCCTGGGCCTGNGGGGGGTGCTGCGTTAACAATGGGTGGAGAGTGCCCCAGGTCCTGCTGACACATTCTTGTGTAATTATGAAGAGAAAACACAGGTGACAAGGGAGGGGAGGCGCTCTGAGGGGGTTTGTGAGGCCACCCATGCTGGGGCTGCGCTCACCTGTGTAAGCCAAGGAGGCACACGGAAGCCCTGGGGGTCACCACCCTTCTGGGGCACATGTGTCTGTCCCACTGGGTGGCTCCAGGTGGGACTGGGACAGGGACAGGGGCAGGTCAGAGCCACCCCAACGGGCATGCTGGGGCCTGAACTTTCCCTGTGTGTGTCAGGAGCAGACAGGGACCAGCTGGAGGGCACTGTCCCCCAGAAGCCAACCAGCCTGGGGGGTGCAGGGAAAGGCAGGGTAGGGTGCACATTAACTAAGGTGGGGGGACGACAGGGCCGAAGGTCTCCATGCCTTGCCCCCAGCTCCAGCACAGTCTGCTCTGAGGGCGGAGGGGCAGCCTGGGTCTGAACCCCAGAACACCTTTCCCCTTGAAGGAAGCAGCTCACTGAGCTCCCAGGAAAGCAAGAGTTCCAGGTACTGGGGAGGGCAGGCTGCCTGCACACAGCCCACTCCTCCTGCGGCCCCCTGGGCCCTTTGAAGCCACAGTGATTGCCCACAGACTTCCCAGCTGTTTGCCCAGGGAATTAAGCTGAGCAGAGAGGCTGCCAAGTGCTCTCGCCCCTGCCCCAGACCACCCTGCCCCCTTCCTGCCCACCTCACTCTGGGCACCAAGCCCTGTCCCCATCCCCACACGGCATTCCAGTTTCCTCCAACATGCTTTAAGTGCACTGTGCTGGGCCAAGTGGGTGGGCTGAGTGGCAGGGAGGAGTGACATGCAGACCCTGCCTCAGAGTTTTCCGTCTCAGAAGCTCTGGAGTCCTCAGACTCCTGCGGGCAGAGAACCTGCCTGTCTTGCTCATTTCTACATTCACAGCATCAGCTTCCTAAGGAATGAATGAATGAATGAATGAATGAATGAATGAGC